TATAACTCCAAAACACGAACCTTAACAAACAAGGCCGCTGCGCAGAGAAACGAGTTGAGCGCGGTACTACCAGGGACGTGGTGGGGATTCAACGATTCAAAGTATTCTATAAAATTCTATAAAATGTTAAATTAAAAAGTTTCAAGTCTAAAGTACATAAATACATATCAATCACATTTATATCGACAATGAAACAAGTTTTAATATTATTATTTCAAAGGTGTTTCTAAAAATTATCATTCTCACCATATTGGTTTTAAACAAACTGTTAAATCTAAAAAACTTTTGAATAAAGCAATGTTGATTGTTGTTTGTTTGGTTGTTTGTAATTATTGTTTTTAAGTCCTTGTAACTAATTATTGTTTTTTTATGTTTTTTTTTAATAAAAAAATTTCAAGTTTATTAAGATATTAAATCGAAGAAGGAACTCTAAAAAAAAACTAAAAAAACCTTAACAAATAACTTAAATAACATTTGCACAAAGTTAAACCTAGGATTTCAGACATCAAAGTTATGTATAATAATAAGGTAAATAAAATATAGCAAAAACATTTGCTAAAAAATGTTATCTTTTTTGTACTAAAAAGTAGAAAATAAACTTTTTAATTCAAATTTAATAGTTCAGTAAACTAAAGATTGACCTCTATCGACTGATTTTAGATATTGATCAAACTTATCAAAATAAAATATTGTTCTGGTTAAAAATTCATTTTCGTTAATCAAATCATCATTACGAGACACATATGCAAACTTGCATCATCACACTTTTGGCAGTAATTTTTTTTCTTTTGACCATCCAGAAACATTTGCTTTTGACCATTCAGAATTTTTGCTTACAAACATTTGCTTTTTGACATTTCTTTGATATAGATACAGATGATTCTCTATTTTCGAGTTTACTTAGTATTGGAGTATTGGACTTTTTTATGGACTTTTTCTACTATACATTTCTACTTTGAGCTTTCTTTGAGCTTCAACGTTTTTAATAAATAAAATTCAATCAAAATCGAAGAATCGAAGAGTTAAAATGTTTAGTTTGTTGATTATATTTGATGCAGAGGTATTTAACTTGGTCTTGAACTTTGATTGATGTTTTTGAATTACTAATATAACACTCATTAAACCATAGAATCTAATTAAACCGAATCAAAGAGATTAGTGAAAATATTTAATTAAGTTTGACTTTAGTTCCATCTTTTTTTAATTCTGATTCACTCTTAACAAGGCTGCAAGCAACCACTATTATGTTGGGAGTTACTAGAAAAAAAAAAAGAGTTATAGAGCAAGATAACAGTTGACAGAAGACTTAAAAAGTTGAAGGTTGTATGAATCAGGAAAACATGAAGATGAAAGAGTTCCAAAAGGTTGAAGTGCGGGTAAAAAAACTAGATGGGTAAAAGTTTTTAGAGCATATAGGGACAGATAGAGAAAAAGGATAAGACTTTGCTGAATGATGAGTTATGCAAGAATGAGTTTTAGTTGATGAAACTAGAAATGATAGCTCCTTTGCGTAGCGAACATGATAGTATTTGTAAATAAGAGAAAGAGGTGCAACTTTACAACAATGAGAAAAAGGTGCTTTCAGATGCTAAGCTCCATTATGAGAATAATGGAGCTTAGCATCTGAATGCACCTTTTTACATCAATTTCTTGCAATAATAAATAGTCGTTTGTTCAATAGAGACTGATGTACTTTTGAAAAAGATGAAAAAAATGATTACAATTAGAGCTGCACAAGAGGGTAAAAACCATGGAGTAGAATGAGGCCTGACTTGGAACCGATGACAAAGAATAATAGTTTCCATTCCTTAGTTATAGGCTTTAGTACCAGCAGAGTCAGTGGCGTTATTTTACACAAAAAAAGTTCATAGGCGTTATTTTACACAAAGAAAGTTCAAGGGGAATTGAAAATCTTTCAGACTTAGTAAAAGTTTGACTTATCCAGGTCTGAGTAAATGAGATTCTACAGCATGTGTATCTAATAATTTAATACTAAAACAGTTTTATTTTTGTACCAACTTTTATTTAACATAAATTTGAAGTCAGATCTACAACTCCTAATGAAAAGCCTTAGAAAAGCAACTTACAAAACTTTAGTATAAAGCCAACAGCTTTAATAAGACAACCCCAACAAGATGTTGAAGAACTTATCATAAGTCTAAGTGCTGTCTGAAAAACACCAATAAATCAAACTTTATACTTTAAAAGTCAAGACTTCATTTGATCCAACTGTTCTTTTGTATTGCATTGGGGTAAGAAAAAATTGATCAATTTCAATATGAGGAAAAAATATAGTCAAGCTATTTGATGCTCCAAAACTTAAAATTAAATTGCGGTTAAAATTATAAATATGCTGACATTATGGAACTCTATCAATTATTGGAGCAAAAAGAAAATAATGTTATTAATATTTATATCATAATTTTATGCAATGAGATAATATTTTGCAATCATAACTCTATCATAATATAACAATAACTATTTAAAACTGAATATTATAGCTATATAATAATTAGCCATTTTGAATTAAATGCTTGTTTTAAATAAAAGAAGTCTTATTTAAACTGTTATTATTGTTGTTATTATTATTATTATTATTATTATTATTATTATTATTATTATTATTATTATTATTATTATTATTATTATTATTATTTACATATATATATATATATATATATATATATATATATATATATATATATATATATATATATATATATATATATATGTATATAATAATAATAATTATTATTATTATTATTATTATTATTATTATATACATATATATATATATATATATATATATATATATATATATATATATATATATATATATATATATATATATATAATATCCTTTAATATGTCTTTAATACTCATCACACTGAATGGCTTGGCTCTTGTGTCAGTGACTCTGCAGGCGTTAAAGCCCACAATTTTAGCCTTTCTCAATCTCTAACTAAATTAGTCAACTTTCCAACTTATTTTCCAGACAACCCGAATCATTTGCTTCTCTACTCGACTTATGTCTTGTTTCTGATCCTAGTCAGTGTTCATTTTATCCATATTCACCCTTAGGTGCTTCTGATCACGGTTTGATCTCTCTAAAACTATTATTTCATTCTTCTTCATCATCAGAATCATCGTACCTTTTACAACTACCTTTAAGCTGACTGGGATTCTTTCTGCAATTTTCTTCGTGATGGCCCTTGGGTAGAAATCTTTCATCTTCCTGCTGATAAATGTGCTTTTTACATAACTTCTTGAATTCAGGCTGGCATGGAATCTTTTATTCTCTCTCAACGATTCCAAGTCAAGTTTCACTCTTCTCCTTAGTTTACCTCACATTGTGTTGCTGTAATTTCCAATCAAAACCATTACTTCCATATCTATTAGCAAAACAGTTCTCTTTAGAAAACAGACATCTGTTTACTATTGCTAGAAACAATTTTAAAAAGGTTTAGTCTCATGCCAAAGCCCGCTACTTTCAGATCATGAAATCTCGTATTTTATCTCAAAAATTAGGTTCTCATGACTTCTGAAGAATCTTTAACAGTATCAATAATATAGGCAAATCAGTTATTCCACCTCTCTTTTCATCAATATCATCTCTCAATTCCACTAGTTGTGTTCTACCTGATATTGCCAATAAACAGGTTGATATATTGCTTGACATTCGTATCACTCCAGCTTCTGTATCTAAAGTGATTTCCTGCTTAAACTCTTCTGCAGCTTGCGGTCCAGACAACATACCTGTTGTTGTCTTGCAGAAGTGTTCTCCGAAGCTGTCATCCATACTTTCAAAACTATTTAACAAGTGCTTATCAGAGTCTTGTTTTCCAGCATGCTGGAAAGCGGCATCTGTTATCCCTATTTTCAAAGACTCTAAAGAAATATCTGACTCGTCTAATTACCGTCCCATTAGTCTTCTTCCTATCATAAGCAAGATTTTGAGTCTTAAATTAACAAACACTTAACAAACTCTCATCTTGAATCTAATAACTTAATTTCTGATCATCAATTTGGATTTCAATCTTCTTGCTCCACAGCCGATTTGCTAACAGTAATAACCGATAGGTTTTATCATACATTAGATAGAGGTGGAGAGGCTAAGACTATCATTCTTGACATTTCTGAAGCGTTTGATAAAGTTTGGCATGCTGGTCCATTAGCTTTCTTCTTACAGTGTATCAGGTAACACCTTTAAGATTATTTAATCTTTCCTTTCCAATCTTAGTATAAAAGTTGTCCTTGATAAATAACACTCTACTTCATATCCTATAACTTCAGGATTTCCTCAAGGTTAATTCCTTGGCTATTAATATGTGCTCCAAAAACTTTCATTTGTCTAATTTTTTTCCCTCAAACAGTTCTTTGGAATTTGCTTCTTTCATCTTGCTTTCCTTATTCATATAATTTGTAATCTTTTAAGTTGCCTGTCAATCATTATATTGCTCTATAATCATCAAGATTGTGACTTAATCACAATCTTGATGCAACAGAGCATTATAGAGGTTATAAGTATATACAGATAGGTTATAAGTTTATACAGATAGATCATAAATATATACAGATAGGTTATAAGTATATACAAATAGGTTATGAGCATATACAGATAGGTTATAAGTATATAAAGATAGGTTATAAGTATATACAGATAGGTTATAGGATAAAGAAAAAAGAATCACAAAAGAACAAAAGAATATAATCATTAAATTTTTTTGTTCTTTTTGTTCACAAAAGAACAAAAGAATTTAATCATTAAATTTTTTTGTTCTTATGTGACTCTTTTTTCATTTCAAAAAATGTGTTCTATTTTTTCATGAAATAAAAACAACTTACATCAATTTATTTTTTAAAATAGTTAAACATCTGAGTATTTTCTTAGATTTAAAAAAATTAAAATTTAATTTGATCTGAGTATTTTCTTAGATTTAAAAAAATTAAAATTTAATTTTAGCACTGTTAACAAACGAATCTACCATTTCTAAAATAAGGTTACAAGTAGTTTATTAGTGGTAATATTTTAATTAAACAAAACTTAACTTACTTGGAATATTTGGAGTGACAGGTACAGGTGTGGTTGTTACACATGGGTGAAGATTACAAGCTCGAGTTTCAATTTCTTGCTGTAATTTTAAGCATGTACGATAACGCTCTTGATATCCCCCTCCACATGGCTGAGCACATTCTGACCATGAAGACCATCCTGTGCAGCCAGTCCATGTTACTTCTGTTGTTAATGTTGATGGTGTTACTGTTGTTTCTTTAGTAGGTGTTGTTGTAGTAGTTGATGCTGTAGTTGTTGTTGCAGTAGTTGTTGTTGAGGTAGTAGTTGGTGTTGTAGTAGTAGTTGTTGAGGTAGTAGTTGGTGTTGTGGTTGTAGTTGGTACTGTTGTTGTAGTTGTGGTTGATGCTGTAGTAGTAGTTGCTGTTGTTGTTGTAGTTGGCTCTGTAGTAGTAGTTAATGTTGTAGTTGGCACTGCAGTTGTAGTAGTTGGAATTGGAGTAGTAGTTGTAGTGGTAGTGGTTGTTGTTATTGGAACTGGAGATGTTGACAATTCTGTTGTAGGTGTAGGTGGTGTAAAAAGACCTAAAATATTAAGTGTAAAAAGTAAAAAATAACAAATAAAATGAAAATAAACTATTATATACAATACAAAATATATAGCAAATTTATAAGGTTCAAAGAATAAATAAGAATAAAAAAGAAAATAAACCATAATTAGGAAATAAAAAATTAAAACATAAATGGGAAACAATGACAAAAATTCATTAAATTAGTCTAGAGGTTAAAATGACTATAATAACCAGACCTAAAACTAACTTAACCTTGTTTACAATAAATTTTATACAAACAAACTTAAAAGTTTTTATGTAACATACATTTAGGTAGGGTATTACAAGGCCGTGCTTGCAGTTCGTCAGCTTCATGGGTATTATTTTTGCAATGATGAATTCGTGTTTGCATACCATTACATGTTGCACTACAAGGTGACCATTCACCCCATTCAGAGCATGTACCTCAAATAAATGAAAAATGAACTTAAAAAGAAATGAAAATATATTTTATTCCTGAAAATTTTGAATATTTATAACTTATAAAACTCTAATATAATATATAAAAATTTATAAAATTTACAAAAATTAACAAAATAATAAAAATTTTATTAAATTGCATTTCTTTTAAATTACTTACTTGGTTCAGATGTGGCTAAAAAAAAAAATGTAATCAATGTAATATATATATATATATATATATATATATATATATATATATATATATATATATATATATATATATATATATATATATATATATATATACATATATATATATATATATATATATATATATATATATATATATATATATATATATATATATATATATATATATATATATATATATATATATATATATATATATGTATATATATATATATATATATATATATATATATATATATATATATATATATATATATATATATATATATATATATATATATATATATATATATATAGATAGATAGATAGATAGATAGATAGATAGATAGATAGATAGATAGATAGATAGATAGATAATTTATATAGATAATTTTTTTTCTTAAAAAAATGGTAATATATTAGGGTAATCTATTTAAAAAAAACTAACAAAAAAGTTTTAATTGTGGATTCAATAAAAACATCTTTTCTTTAACTTACTTGTTGGACAAGGAACTTCATTACAAGTTATGTTTTGTTCATTGTAAACTCCATCACAAGTCCTCCATCGAGACATAATTCCACCAAGACAAGAAGCAGTGCATTCTGTGTAAGCTGACCACTGACCACAATCTTTACAATAAAATCAACTTTTAAATAGCATTTTCAAAAATAACATTTATAAAAGAACATTTATGTAATAAATTATGTATAATTTCAAATATATAACAAATAAACAACTTTAAGTTTCTGCTAATAAAACTTACAAGGTGGATAACAGTTTATTTGATTGCATATTTGCACATCTTCTTCCCTAAATGGTGAATTGGTTTTCACTGAATAACACAATCTGAAACGTTCTTTTTTTCCGCTGTTGCAAGACTTAGAACACTCACTCCATTCTGCCCAATTTTCACCTTGAATAAATTTGATGTGGCAATTGTCATAAAGTTTAAAAAATTAAATTGTCGCACAAAATAAAAAAGCAAAAAACGCATTGCAAAAATCATTAAACAGACAGTTAAAAGGAACTCTCAACAATGTTTAAGTTAAGTAGAAGTGATACCATTTAAAATTTATGTTATAAAAATCTACTTTATTACTTGTAATTTTTTTTTTTTAATAATTTGAAAGTTTCCGCTGTATGATAAGTAAATTTTATTTAACATATAATCTAATACATTTAAAACTCACAACGTGGGGGGCATTCTTGAGTATTGCAGTTTCTTGTTTGTGTTTGAGGTGTGGAAATGATTCTACCAAGATCTTCCCAACTACCAACGCGATTACGATATTGATACCCACCACCACATGTTAATGTGCATTCAGACCATTCATTCCATGGAGTCCATTCTAAACAGAAAAAACAGCTTGAAAATTATGAAAATATAATGTTAAAGTAAAGAAGTAATGTTGTTAAAAAAACCCGCAAAAGTTATTTTCCTGGGAAAAGTTATTTAAGTAATTTTACTTTATAGTTTTATTTATTTATTTATTTTGTTATAATTTTAATTTTTATCTTTTCTGTAAAATATCAAGATTTCTTAAATAAATATTGCACCAGTAATAAATGTTGCACTTTACCCGTAGGACATGGTTTAGTATTGCATAAGCGTGATTCAGTAAACTCTAAAACATCAACTTGAATATTGTCTGTAATTGAGCAGTTTCTTTTGTGCTCCTGCACACCTCCGCCACATGTCTTGCTACATTCACTATAGTCTGACCATGGATTGCAAACTAATAAATATAATGACAACAGATATTATATACACACAAATACTTGTCACAGTTTTTTTTACAAAAAAGTTATTAAATTTAATGTACTTCCATAATTATTTAATTGTTTTAACATTTAATTTGCCATTAAAATTCACTTAAATGTTAGAAAAAAAGCATTAAAAGAAGGTTTTTTTTTTACTTTTTTTTTACCTATATATATATATATATATATATATATATATATATATATATATATATATATATATATATATATATATATAATATATATATATATATATATATATATATATATATATATATATATATATATATATATATATATATATACATATATACATATATACATATATATATATATATACATATATACATATATACATATATACATATATACATATATATATATATATATATATATATATATATATATATATATATATATATATATATATATATATACATATATACATATACATATATATTATATATATTATATATATATATATATATATATATATATATATATATATATATATATATATATATATATATATACACAGAGAAAAGATTTACACAAACAACTAAAGAAAACTAAAAAATGATTACGTGGTGGGCAGTCAGTCATATAACACTGCTTTGATGCAATTAATTTTTCAGCTTTTCCACCCTCTCTGCAAACCTTTTCACGTAATCGCTTTCCAAAACCACATGAGGTGCTGCAATCGCTCCATGCTGACCATTCTTCACAAACTAACATTTTTGTAAAACTTTCAAAATCATGATAAAAATAATGTTTATTAAATTATCTACAAAATAACAATAAAAAATTATTAGAGTAATTGTTACCTAAAACTGGCTTAGATGTTGTTGTAGTTGTTGTTGGCTTCATTGTTGTTGTTGTAGTAGTTGTAGTTGTTGTAGTTGTTAATGTAGTGGGTACCTCAGTTGTTGTTGTTGATGCTACAGTTGTTGTTGGTGCTATTGTAGTTGTTGTAGTTGTTGTAGTTGATAATGTAGTTGGCTTCGCTGTAGTGGTTGTTGAAACTGTTGTGGTAGTTGGAGCTAATGTTGTTGTTGTTTGACAGGGTAGTTGAACACAAGCTGAAATAAAAATAAAGCTAATAAAAAATAAAAGTTATTTAAATATTTGTTTTACATTTAAATAAGCTGATGAATAATTATATTTTAGGATAATGAATAATTTTTAAGTAAAGTTTAAATAAAGCAGCAGATTTATATTTGAAAACTTCTTACATCCACACATTCCCCATTTTTGATCTTGGTCAAAATTACTTGTTGTTCCACACCAATATCCCAATCCTGGTTGCAAAATACACCCATATTGGGGTTTTCCAGAAAAAACAAAAGGTACCGAACAACAAGAGCCATATGAATTTCCACCATAACTTGGCAACAAACAACTCTCTAAAGTAAATTTAAAAACTTCATAATATTTTAAAAATTTTTATAATTTAAAACATTTAAAATGTTCACTTTTTTTCTACTTTAGCCTGAAGAAACCAATTTTTAAAATATAAACTTTAATATCTTAGATTTGATGATAATTTAAGGTTTCAAAATTTTATTGAAAAATCTTCTTATTTCTATAAATTATATCTAAAATTCACACACTCCTGGTTATGAGGAGGATGTAAAATTTATATTGTTGTAAATTTTGAATGCTTTAGGATTTTTTAAAGATATTTCATCTATATTTATAAATTTTAGTTTTATTTAAGGAAATGATAATTTTTTTTTAGAAAAACCAAATTTCTCATATTTATGTGAGTGATATTTTTTTTTTTTTTTTTTCTTTTGTTATTTACCTCTTCAAGGCTGAGAAGGCCACTACAGACGAGGAGGCTACTTAATAGTGGTTATAACCCTTTCTCAACTCTATAACTCCAAAACACAAACCTTGACGAACAAGGCCGCTGCGCAGAGAAACAAGTTGAGCGCGGTACTACCAGGGACGTGGTGGGGATCGAACTCGGAACCTCTCGCTTATGAAGCGAGTTTTTTACCACTACATCAGTACCGCATTTACTTGTAGAGTATATTTTTTCTCTGGCTATAATCAGTATAATTTTTTGTACAATCAGCATAAATTTTGTATAATCAGCATAATTTTTGGTACAAAATCATAAGTATATAAGATATAACTATAAACAAAAGTTTATAGTTTAGAACTATAGAAGGTACTCAACTCAACAATAACAAAACAATAACAAAAATCCTGCCCCACTTTAACATTTTTAATTTTTTTAACACTTATCTTAAATATTTTTTTATTGCATATTTTAAAATAAATTTTTATAGTTATATCTAGAGGTGAGAAGAAAAATTTCAAAAATTTATATTGGATTCTTTTTGTTTGTTTTTACTTTAACTTAATTCAGTTCATTGAAAACATGTAATTCTAATATAGCTTCTAGTTGTTAAAGATATTTCTAGATTTAAGTTTTAAATGATAAAAAGTTTTTAAAACATTTTCTATAAGAGTTACTTTAATTTATTTTCTATTAGAGTTACTTTAATTTATTTTCTATTAGAGTTACTTTAATTTTTTTTATAAACATCAACAACTCTCTTAATACTTCCCACAGCAAATAAAAAGTTTCAGTTTTTTTCAAATTTTTTTCAAAAGGTATTTAAATTCTTTTACATCTCTATTTATAACTTAAAATTCCTAAAAAAAACAATAAAAAAATTAATAGTTTAATCAAGTTTAAGACTGCACTTTAATAAAAAGGACACTAACAGTTAAAAATATCATTTAAGACTGTACTATAATCGATTTTAAGACTGTACTATAATGATAGTTCTACATTTTTATAAAGTTGATCATTATTTTTTCTTGAAATATTTTTTTTATTTAATTAGTAAATGCTTAACAAAACATTTAAACTATTAAACATTAAACATACTGTAAGAATTGGTTAAATTCTGAAGCGGTGGTTTTACTTTTTCATCTACCACAGAAGTAAAGTTTTTACACATATTTGCACAATGCTTTTTCATCCAACTGTGGAAACAAATGCTTGTTGTATAGTTTATGCAACGAACATCATCTTCATTTTTAACTAAAGTATACCAAAACAACTTTAATATCTATAAAAATCTTCATAATATTTACATATGTAAATATTATGAAGATCCATGACAATGCAATATATAGTCTGTTGCAAAACTTTATGTACCAGAGTCTAATAGATAATAATGGCGTTAAAGAGATGGAAACAATAATAATCAGTTTATAAGAAACTAATAAAAATGAATTAATAAAATAAATAATCATAAACTTATTTAAAAAATTAAAATATTTGAATTACCATCAAATTGTAATGGCAAACTTTGAGCATCAGATTTAGGTTTTGAGTTAATTAAATTTGAAGGTCCTGATACACTCTTTCCATCTTTTGTTATATGTGGTGGGTATCTGCTGACTGCTTGAAAATTTGAATCATTGTCTTTATGTGTTATAATTGCAGTATCTGTAAGATGGGTATGTACCCCTTCTATTTAATATAAAAAAACACATTTATATTATGAAAAATATTGTTTTTAAGTTTTTTAATTTACAACATTTATCTAATTTTTTTTTTTTAAATAAATATAGATAAAAAATTCAGATAAAAATTACCAGGATGAGTTTCGTTTGCAGGAATAGATTGGCGAGTTTCAGGAACTCCTGATTTTTTAAAACCATCACTTCCAGGAAACATGCCATTACCTAATAAGTTGTTTGTTCCTACTGTATTAACTTGAGTTTCATGATTGTTTGATTCAACATAATTTAAGGTTTCTTTTGGTATTGATTCTAAATTATCATTTTGTTTTGTAACCATCTGCCCTTTTTGCTCATTTGAATAAATTTTGTTAGCGTTCAAACTATTATCAAACTGACCGCTGTTCACCATTTGATATGCAGCATTTAGCTCTTGCTGCGAAATTTTCATAAATTGGCTATAGTCTTTTTCTTGGACATCTTGCAGGTTCTGTTTTGATAAAGTATTATAGTCATTATATACTTGTGGTGCTTGATTTTCAGCTCCCACATAATTTTGATTTACTACTGTGTTTAATGAAGGATTACCATTCAAGTCAGACAATTTTTGACCCCAAATATCATCTCTCTTATGTTTAATCTTCCTTGACAGATGTTTATGAAATTTAGCTAAAAGAGAATTTTTTATTAGGCTCATAAAAAAAAACATTGTAAAACAAAAATCATTTTACATAAACAAGCATTTTTAATGATTTAAAAAAATTGTTAATATAGAGGAAAATGATAAAAAGAAACCATGCAAAAAAAAAAAGCAAAAATACAAGATTAAAAATGATGAATGTGCTTTAAAAAGATTAAAATTTATGTGTACAATTTGCATAAAAAACAACATTTCAAGACCATAATTAAATAAAAAAATAATATTTATAGAAACAATGTGCATGATTATTTATTGTTACATAGATAAATACTAGATTAATTAAAGTTTATCATAATATCTGACAATGAGGTTGGATATTATATATATTATTTATATTATATGTTCATTAGGGCATTAATTAAATAATAAAATAGTAACCAACCCCAACATTCCCTTTATCTATATGTATCTTTATCTATATGTATCTTTATTTATATGTATCTTTATCTAAATATATCTTTATATATATTTATTATTATTTATTAGTCAACATTTAACAACAGTCAACATTGATAATTCGATATGTAATAGCAAGCCGACCATTTGAATGCTTTATAAAATTTATTCCAATATATGAGCTTACTGATGATAGCTTGGCAAAAATACTATTTGCATTTATAGAAGAGAATGATATAAACATTAGAAACTGTATGACAATACATCGAATATGAGTGGAAAATACAATGGTATGCAAGCTTGGATTCGCAAAAAAAACAGTAAAGTTGAATACATTCTATGTTGTGAACATTATCTAAATCTTGTTGGTGAAAATGTTGTTGACAGCTGTCCAGTTTATTTTTTTAATTTTGTTCAAAAAATGTTGCGTTTTTCTCTGCTTCAACATATCAATCGAATCTACTTTTAACTGGCTTTCCTCCTTTACGAATACCAACATTGAAACAACTTTGGGATACATTTTAGTCTGCTCACCACAATGCAGTTAATGCACTGCATTAACTTTATTGAACGTATACAGTTGATGTACTGCATCAAATGAAAGTATATAAAACAATTTAAAAGATTCTTAATAGAAAGGCTGAATCAACAACTGAAAAAACTAACACATGATTGGAAGCAAAAAGACTTCCTGCCAGTATGAATAAGTTAAAGACTGGCCTAATGGTCCAGGTACAGTCAATGGTTTAAGAAAGATTTTGACAAAACTAATGTAAATGTAAAATAATGCAAATACTTTTAAGATTCAAAACTAGATTTGAATATGGCTACATAGATGTGGTAATCTTTTAAAATAACCCTAAATAAACAACCCTTCAAACTCATAAATAATGCAATATCATTGAAGAAATATTTTCTATTTATTGCATTGGTTTATTAGTTTGTATAATTTGTACAATTATTTATTTCATTAAAAACTATTACATTAAGTATTTATTATTTCATTAAAAACTATTGCATTAAGTATTTTGAAAATGTTTTCAAAATACTTAATGTAATAGTTTTTATTCTAAGCAGTTAACATTCTGTTCAGAATGTTAACTGCATTAAATTATAATTATAATTAAAACAACGCATAAAATCACTTTACAGCTTCAAATTATTTTATATATTTTTTTTATAATAGGCTGTAGGCCCACTCCAAATCTGCAATCTCAGGCCCAATTTAAACCGGTCCTGACTCTAATCCCAAAATGGCTGGTTTAAATATTATAAATACTTCAGAAAAAGAACATCTGTGAAAAAAAAACGAATGTGAAAATTTGATGAATTTGTTATGTCATATCTGTACTGCTAATAATAGTACTAATATTGTACTGGTATTAGCAACTTTGTTTATTGAAAGATATGAGAAAAACACTGAAATTAGAAGTAAATTTAACCAGCAGTAGGAAATATAGTGGATTACTTTTGTGTGAAAATTAAGGAGTAAGAAAACCTGTAATAAGTATGATCTCATAAATTATTTTTATAAAAAATTGTAAATATGAAGGATTATAAGTAAACATTTTGTTAAGTTTTATTGGAAAAGTTTTTGTGTCTAATTTATCAACTTAAGCATTGATGACTGTTTTTGGTTTACAAACTTAGGATTAGTCAAGCACCTAATTAATTATCTTGATTTTTAAAAAAATATTTTACATTCTTAGTTAGACATTTTGAGTATAAACACAAATATGAAATCAACATCTGCAAAAAGATGCAAATATGGTTGAACAAATCCAGGTTATGACCTTAAACTGATTTCGAATACAAACAATTTAAACTTATTTTAAAACTTTGATAATTAATATAAAACATCTGAAAAGATATTTTAGTTGAAAATACTTTTGTTAGCTACTATATTCGATAATTATTTTGAATAACAGTTGTTAAACTACATTATATATTACATCATAATATATATTAGATTAGGCTTTAGATTTACACACGTGCGCAACTCTTTCGCTTTCGATTTTAAACTGACTCATTCAAGATCCATTCAAGATCAACAAATTCCCATTAATAAGAAAAAAACTTTCACGCACTTTTTAACTAGGGGAAAGGCGCCAATGATGGCATACTTAAATTTGAAGCTTTATTGTTCAATATCCTGAAGACCAAGAACAAAATTTTTAATATAGATGCATTCTTTGTTACATGTAGAACAATAAAAATTTTTTTAGTGAAGTAAAAATTCCTTTTTAATTCACTAACACATTTGTTGTTTTTATGAAAAAAAAGGTTTTCTCAACTCGTCAATATTGCAACATATCTAACTCGTCAGTATGCCATCGTGGGAAGAAGTCATCATTGTCTTGTCTGCCTTTTTCAAAAGATTAAATTAAAATAAGTATTCCACTAAATGCAAAAAACTTGGATATAAAATGCATGAAAATTTCATTTAATAATAAAATCACAATCTTAAATATTTAAAGGGATTAAAAATACAACAGAACATCACAAAATCAATTTTTATTGATTATAAAAGCGATATTTGCGCATTAGGGAAAGTTTTTTAATAAAATTAATGTAAAGTCAGTATAGACATGTTGGTCTAATCACTTTTTGGCCATAACCAATATTTATGAAAATATGACCGATATGTCATCATAGGCACTGTACCATCGTAGGCGCCTTTCCCCTAGTTTTTTTTTATTATATATATATATATATATATATATATATATATATATATATATATATATATATATATATATATATATATATATATATATATATATATATATATATATATATATATATATATATATATATATATATATATATATATATATAATATATTAGAGATATGACTTTTTTTTAAAAAGGTTACATTTCCAGTATCAAAAATCGATGAATTTTAATCTAAAAATTATAAAAAATACATCCAGCTCCACTAAATTTTTGTAAAAAAGTTACCCCCAAATAAAAACTAGGTGTCGCCATAGAATACAATTATAATATTGCTATCTCTTAGCAATTTTATAAAAACTGCTGCGTTTTTTGTTTTGTTTTTTTAATTATTTTGAGGTGCCCCAAGAAGTCAATGCACCGCGGAAAAGCATAAAATAGGAAGTTCACTTCTCCTTCCTAACCAATGTCACAAAATTTGTTCAAAGGTGGGGTTCGAACTACGGATCCTTTGTTTCTGACGCAAGTGCGCTACCACTGCGCCGCGGCCTATATATACATATATATATATATATATATATATATATATATATATATATATATATATATATATATATATATATATATATATATATATATATATATATATATATAATATAATATATATATAATATATATATATATATATATATATATATATATATATATATATATATATATATATATATATATATATATATATATATATATTATATATATGTATATTGTATATATGTATATATATATATATATATATATATATATATATATATATATATAATATATATATATATATATATATATATATATATATATGTATGTATATATATATATATATATATATATATATATATATATATATTCAATTAAAAATTGTAGACATGCTAACGTTGTGACTTTATATAATGCACCATTATATAAAGTCACAACCGTTGAATTAGGTAGGTAGTTCTAGGTTTGTGTAGAATGACGTAGAACACTTCAGAAATGTGTAGATTGTTCTGGAACTACTAACCGTGACTATATAAGCAATTTCTGCACTAGTTTTTGTTGTTGTTGTTCAATAACTGATTGAGATAAGGTTAACAAATTAATTAAGCAGATATTATTTTACTGAAATACATTCGTATAAAAAAAGAGCCTTCACAAGAATTTTCGCTCATAGAAAAATGCAGAACACCACTTAAAAGGCAAGTAGTTAGTCGATAACAGTATTTTAGAGCTGAAATTAAAAAACGAAAGGAAAGAATAGCGAACATTTCCAAAGAAGTTTAAAGGTTGTTATGTAAATTTGAAATTGACTGGTTTATATATTATTTTTTACGTACAATAAATATTATGTATCTATCTGTTATATTTACATGATCTTTGCGTATAATAAAGATAAGTTTGTATAGTATATATTATTTATGTGTGTTATTTATATGTATGTTTATTTGAAAGAATGTGTATTTGCTAGTACACATATATATATATATATATATATATATATATATATATATATATATATATATATATATATATATATATATATATATATATATATATATATATATATATATATATATACATATATATATATATATATATATATATATATATATATACATATATATATATATATACATATATATATATATATATATATATATATATATATATATATATATATATATATATATATACATATATATATATATATATATATATATAATATATATATATATATATTATATATATATATATATATAGATATATATTATATATATTATAGTATATATATATATATATATATATATATATATATATATATATATATATATATATATATATATATATATATATATATATATATATGTAA